TTTTAAGCTAATAAGAACATCATTCCCCTTTTATATTTAACATCTATTGAACACATTATTGAATTTTAAAAAATGTCTACAGTTCCTCTCAGCTTTTAACAGGTTCCTGTATCCCCATTTCATTGAGTAGTAATTTGAAGTGACCATCTCTATCACTTTCCTTTCTTTTTGGAAAATTTCTTCAATCCATCACTAGCAATAAAGATGATCCTTCTTCCCCCAGGCCACATCAGGACATATCTGCTGAAACCAGTAGAAAGCTGCAGGTTGTGTTGCTTTGATGAGAGACTGTCTCTGTCCCATATCCACACGTTGTAGCTCAGAGTCAAGCAGATTTTCTCTCTGCTGACCGCACAGAACTTCTATCTGTAACATTTGTAAGGAAGCCTGATTTCATAAATTACTTCCTTTTCCCTCTTTCCCCATGGCAATTTTTAAAATTTCACTCATGGGATTTTGGTATAGCAGCTGGCTAACATTTGTTGCCCATCACCAGTCACCATGAGAAATGTGATAAGCTGCCTCCTTGCACCACTGCAGTCCATTTGGTAACAGTTAATACAACCGAGTGGCTTGCTTGGCCATTTTACAGGGCAGTTACAAGTCAATGACACAAAATAATAAAAAAAGGGGACAAAACTGATTCCATAGTAATGGAGCAATATATAATATTGAATAGAATAACATAGTTAGGAAGAAAATATTAAAGAGCTTAACCAACAGGAGTGTCGATAAATCACCATGCCCAGAGGAAATATTTCAGGCTAAGTGAAGCAAGGGAAAAAATAGCTGATGCTCTAACAATCATTATCCAATTCTCTCTGGCTGTAGGCGTAATGCTGGAGGTTTGCACTGTTACTTAGTTGTCAGCTTCTGTCTCATGAGACAATGTTTGTGCTGAGGTGGTCAAATCTGTGCTAGGCATTGCCTGAACCATACCAGGCAGTCTCTGCCACATCTTCCGTAGAGATGACAGTGGGTTGAAAAGCTGCTTGCCTTAGTTTTCTCTGGTTCCTGTTCTTGGTCAGATGAACTGCTCCCCTTTCCCAATGTCGCTCCAAAAAGTTGACTACTGTATACTGCTGTTAAAAAGGGTGAAAGGGATAGCCCAAGTAATTACAGACCAGATAGTTGGTGTGCCCTTGGTGGTGGGAAAATTATTGGAAAATGGACGGTAAATATAAAATTCAACATTTAGAAAGGCATGGTTAGTAAACATGGACTTGGTAGCACTGAACTTTTTATTTATAAATGAAGGGTTGATGAGAATTTTGCATTTGATGTAATCGATACGGATTTAGCAAAGCTCTTGATAAGGTCCCACACTGCAGATTAGTTGGAAATGTAAAAGCTCATGGAATCTCAGGAGAGTGGCAATTTGGATCCAAAAGGGAAATGGTGGACGTTTTTTTCTATGACTGGGAGGTTGTTTTCAGCAGGGTTCATGATATGAATTAACCATTTAGATGTAAATCGAAGAGAAATTATTCAGAGGTTTGCAGATGAGATGATAATTGGCTGTGTCTTTGTAAAACTGGAGACTACAGGTTATTATTGAAGGAATGGGCAGAAAAATAGCAAATGAAATTTGACCAGAGTGTGAAACAATATACAATAAACTGTAGGATATCAAATAGTATAGAGAACATACAGTCCTTAAACTGCCTGCCCACAGATCTTGAACATGGCAGGGCAGACAGATAAGATGGACAAGACACCAAATGCAGCACTTTCTTTTATTTGGCAAGGCATGCATATAAGGGCAAGTAGGCTTTGCCAGAACTATATAAAGATACCAGTTATGCCATTGTTAGAGTGCTATGTACCGTTCTGGTACATTATAGGAAGAATGTGTCAGTTTGGATAAAGGGTCACAGGGCTCAAAATGTTAACTCTATTTTCTCTCCACTGATGCTGCCAAACCTGCTGCCTTTCTCCAGCAATTTCTGTTTTTATTATAAGAAGATTATGATTGCTTTAGAGAGGATACAGAGACGACTTACAAAGGTGCTACCAGCAATTTTAATAATGGGAAAAGAATGGATGGCCTGATCAATTTTCCTTTGGAATAGAAAAGGATGAGGGTAGAATTGATTGAAATGTATGGAGAAGTTAAACTTGTAAAACTTCCAGAACAGAATTGCTTAATTAGAAATTGACAGATTATTAAAAGACTGAGAAAGTCTAAGCTTTCGAATGTAGACAGTATACATGTAAGACAACTTTACAGACAAAACTGGGGAGAAGCAATTAAGTTGAATCTAAAGATTTAATATAGAAGGATAGTTTCTCTGTATTTGAAACACTACCAAGTGATGATATTGAGAAACAGATGCAACTTCATTTTGCTGTGTGTTTGAAAGGCCTGTTCTATAATTTGGTAGCTTGGTTTATTTTACCATTTTCCTTTCATGTAATAAACTTTATTTTATTAAAGAAATCTGTAGCCGTTTGTGCTTATATTTCAGTGAATTAACTCTGCCTCTAAAAACAAAATCTATCCAGCCAGATTTCATTCTGGGATCTGACTTGTTCATCAGTAGAATCAGCTGGGATCATAACAAATGATAAAGATTAGGAAACAGTTGAGATAAATCTCAGGAGTGGGATTCTGGAACTCGCTGACAATGAAAGCATGGTACAGACAGAAAACACATCACATTTAATATAAACTGTATTGCCATAAAATCCAAGGCCATGGAACAAATGTTGGAAAATTGGATTATGTTGGTCTCTCAGCTGCTAAAAACATGTTTAGTCAACTAACGCATGCTATAAATTTCTGTTTGAAAACTGCACCTTCTAAACATGAATTCAAATGGCTTATTTGCACATTAAGAAGACAGCTCTTGTATTATGCCACTGTTACTTATAAAAGTTAAAAGATAAACTACAATTTGGCCAGCATTTTAATTTATTCACATTAAGTTTGCTTCAATGACAAGGAATAGAGCTTTCTTTTCTTGCATATACTGAATGAATTAGAAACGTTTGAAACTAACACTTGTGCATTTCATTTCCTGTTAGTTTGCAAGGCAATGGCACAGAATGTAAAGACAATGACAGTCAAAAAGTTTATAAATCAGAGTTACAACAGCTCTCCCAGAATTTGTACCTGTATAATATTAGTTTTGCTTGTATTCACCAGTACAATGCTTTGTTGTCAATGAGACATTTTGATGAAGGATGAAGAGGAAAACAAGGAAAGAATGTTTTAGCCAAGAGCATTCGAATATGAAAACCGTAAATGGTGCTGTTAAACATTAACAGTACAGAATCTTAAATTCTCATTAACCTCAGCATTTCTAATTGAAGTCTTCCTGCTCTGTCTATATTCAAATAAAGAGATGTTCAAGGGTGACAGAACACCTGTAGAGCTTTGTTGGTGTTTGGTAGGTATATGTACTATCTGGTGTTACCATATGAACCTGAAGGTTCCAGGTTCAAATTCTGGATAGTTGATCTTAGCTGTGGTAGCAGGTGGACAACCACAATTGTACTCATTATCCTGGGGTAGGGAGGGAAGATCAGACAGAGCCTCCTTCACTATATAGTTCAGTTGTGTGAGTAGGTGAGTAAGTGAAGTCAAGACAGAGTTATACTTAATTGTGATAGCACATTCACTCTGTTGGTATACACTTATTATAGAGGGGGTAATGTCAGTACCACTGCAACAGAAAACAGAGACAGTTGTGCTTCAGACAGATGATGCAAGAAAATTGGAATTTAAAAAAAAATCCAAATTAAGTTAGAGCAAGAACATAATATGCTTCTTCTCCACAATACACCACAGTAGGAGTTGAGTAGAAGTTCCTCACAAAAAGTCACTTTGTAGAAGTTTTCCCCTCTCTCTTTGTATTGGTACAAATTCTAAAGTCCTATGTAGTATTTTTTTTTAATTCATTCATGGGGTGTGGTTGTGACTGGCTAGGCCAACATTTATTGCCCATCCCTAATTGCCCAGAGGGCAGTTCAGAGTCAACCACATTGCTGTGGGTTTGGTGTCACGTAGGGCAGACCATGTAAGAATGGCAGTTTTGTTCCCTAAAGGACATTAGTAACCAGATCTTTTTTTCTAACAATCAACAATGGTTTCATGGTCACCATAAGACTCTTAATTCCAGATGTCTGTTGAATTCCAATTCCACCATTTGCTGTGGCGGGATTTGAACTCCGGTACAAAAGAACATTACCTGGCTGTCCAGATTAATAATCAAGCAATAATACCACTAGGCCATCACCTCCCCTAAATTATGTAATTTATATACTGTGAAGAAAAATTATGAAAAACAACTCATGCTGAGTCATAGATGTACGAGGTAGGTTTGTTTCAGCTTAAATCCTTCTATGGCCTTGTTCATCCCCATCTGAGTAACATCCTCTATTGTGACCTCTCAAACTCTCTGTTCCTTTGCTGTTAGCCTTGTGCATCCCTTTCTACCAGTGGCGATTCAACCGATCAGAAGCTACTTAGTAATCTCTCCACCTCCTTCAATCAAGCTTCTGGTCGTTGACAATCTGTTTCTTTTAGAGTTAGAGAGGTACAGCATGGAAACAGACCCGTCAATCCAACTCGTCCATGTCAACCAGCGATCCCAAATTAATCTAGTCCCATTTACTAGCATTTGGCCCATATCCCTCTAAACCCTTCCTATTCATATACCTATCCAGATGCCTTTTAAATGCTGTAATTGTACCAGCCTCTATAACTTCCTCTGGCAGTTCATTCCGTACATGCACCACTCTCTTGTTTAGATTTCTTTTTATTCCCCTTGTACTTTCAAAGTTGCTAGAGCACCTTTACTTTAAAAGGCACCACACTAATACAAGTTGCTGCTGATGTATAATTCATAACTAAAGAATGCTTGCAGATTAACACAGTAAACAGCAACAGTAGAGTGTGAGGATAGTGTTCAAAAGGTAACTGCAGTCTAATTTTCAAGAACTTAATACTTGCATAAAGTCAACTAAATGCAATAAAAATATTGTGCCATACTTACAGGAAGTCCTGAAATATCTGAGTATTTTTTGGCTGGTTTAAAGGAAGGAAGAGCATCAATGCTGGAATCTGGAGATTTTAAGAGAAAAAAAATGGAATTGGTTGTTACCAAGATTGACATCTGACAAGGCAAAAACTTAGAATCTTTTAACCAGAAAGAAAAATCATACATGACCATTATCTATGGAATTCCATCTTTTGGAAATAATAGTAATTGCTCAAATTAATTAGGTGCAGCATACCAGCAAAGCTAGAGGACTTATTTCTGGAAGTAAAGAATACACAATTATTGAGACTACTTATGCCCAATAAATAATCACATTTTAATTAACAAATGGACATAATGGATCTCACAAACTAAAGTTTGCTACTCCAACATAGCATAACTACAATAATCCCTATACTACTTATAATATTCTTATAATTCACAGTAGAACTATGATAGAAACTGATTCGCACATTTACAAAAGTGGCAGTCCATTACTGTCAAATTAATATTTTGTGCAGCACTTGTTAAATCCAAATTTTTCATGTTACAAAAATTATATTAAGAGCTGTGTATTAAAGATTTGGTCCTCAGATATTCAAAGCAAATTGAATCCGAAGAACATTCGGGTGAGGTCTGATCAGTGGCAAGTGACACTGTTTGGCACTTGCATGGCAACAATGACCACATTCAACAAAAGCGAATCTAACCAACACCCAGTGAGATTCAATTACATCATTATTATTGAATTCCATACTATTAGCATCCTTCAGGTTACCTTTGATCAGAAAGGTAACTGAATCAGCTTAATAAATACCATAGCTACAAGCGTAGACGATATTCTATGAATTGCATGAATCCCAAAAACATGTTGCTATTTGCAAGGTATAAGTCAAGAGAGCGACAGAAAACTCTTCATTTGCTTGGGCATCAACTGCAACAATTTACAAGGCTTCTTCAACAGCATCTTTCAAACTTAGAACCTTTATCAAAGCAACAGGGTAGCAGACAAATGGAAACTCCACAATCTGCTAATGTCTCTCAGTCACATCACCATAGGTTGGAACTATACAAGCATTCCTTCACTATTGCTGAATCAAAATCCTGAAACATTTTTCACTATAGCACTCTGGATTTAACTGTAACACACGGACTGCAGTGGTTCACCACCACTTTCTCAAGGTCAATTAGAACAATAAATACTGGGCTTGCCAGTGATATTTACACCTTAGGAACGAATAAGGAAAATAATTTTGTTGGAAGATAACTATTTCAAGTTTGAAGAAAAATAAATTTGTCCTTTAGGTTTAAAGAACATATGTGGATCATTATTGCCTTTCATGGGTAAAAGATGCTTCTTTCAAGTTTAACATGCAATCTTTACCTGTTTTAAAATATAAATTTAGCAGGCATTTGGAAGATTGTAATGAACAGGCTGATGGTACAATCTGGAATAATGAAAATACATTGTTGGTTGATAGAAGGTTGATATGATTATGTGTGAATGTTGGGTATATTTTAAAAGAAACATCAGCTAGCAAATACACTGAAACTCACAGTTAGGATCATTCAGTTTCCATGGTAACATCCGCTCAGTAGCAAGAATTTGTTTCAGGTTTTTCCAAACACGACTCTTCTTCCCAGCCCCTGCACCACCTATGCCAGAATGCTGAAAATTAAGATCCCAAAGACAAGGAGGAGGAGGTTAGGTAGTTGTTTACTGCACTATTACTCTTAATGTAACTTTTTTCCCTAACCCATGCAATTAATATACTACTACAACATGGATTTTTGGATCTACTGAAAATAACTCTCAATTTGCTCAGCTTTCTTATTAGATATAAACAAAGGGTTATATGGTTAGAGTTAAATTCTATGCATTATCTGAATATAACAAAGTTCATACAGAAATATGCTGCAATTTACAAACTCAAAGATTCTATACACATTCTTGCCTACCTAAAAGTTAAAAGTGTTGCCCAAGCCAATATCCGCAAGGTGAATCTGGCATGCAGTTATTGTATCCATGTTTGCATCAACATTGGTTCAAGTCAAAACTAAACTGAAATTAGTCAATTATTGGAGAGGACATGTATATTTTAGAGCTATCGATGACTTTTTCCAATGTTGATTGGAAAGCAGCTCACTTGTTAATTCAGGTAACTGAATTTCTGAAGAAGGGTCTAGACCCGAAACGTCAGCTTTCCTGCTCCTCTGATGCTGCTTGGCCTGCTGTGTTCATACAGCTCTACACCTTGTTATCTTAAATTTCCACTGTTAGGTTATCATAGCTATACCCAAACATCCTTGCCAAGTGTGAAATTTACCAAATTGCACAGATGTTCAGCCCTGCTGCTGGGATGTTGTAAGGGACCACAGCCTTGTTTGTGTCCAGTGCCCTCAGCTGCTGCTTGAATTGTCACATAAAGTCAATCAGCTGTCTGGACATTAACAATCAAAAAGGATCAAAAAAGAAAGTAGATTGCTCTTTTGACACGAAGGGAACACCATGGATTACTCCTGCAATTATACAGAAAGGGATAAGCTATAGGACATTACTTTGTCATAACAGCGGTAAAAATATAGAGCATCAATTTTAGACTTTCATTATCTGATTTTTATACTTTGGACTGAAATGGTTTCAAGAAGAAAAACATAAAAATGACTGATCACTGACTGAACTAAGCTTTGTAATAAATAAAGAAACAGTAACTTATCTAAACTGAAATTAACTTCTTTTATTCAAATGGGACTGAAACCAGTTAACTAGATCTATACACCTTCATGTATCTTCACATGTTGAAGATAAAACATTGTTTGAGATTGTCCAGGTTGAAAACACAGAACTCAGACACTGGGATATACAAAGTAACTGTATTTTACGGAACCACTTTTAGGTAGAGCAAGGGGATGGATTTGAAACTGGAGAAAAGTTTCTCTTCGTCTCTAAAAGGATAAAGGACCCAATGATAAACACGAACGGGACAGAAAAAGACATAAATGGGAAAGAAACATCCAAACACTGAGAACTTAAATTTTTTTTTTCAATTCATTATGGGATGAGCGTTCACTGGCTGGGTCAGCATTTATTGCCAATCAGTAGTTGCCCTTCAGGAGGTGAACTGTCTTCTTGAACTGCACTCCATTTGGAGTAGGTGGGCCCGCAATTCCATTAGGGAGGGAGTTCCAGGATTTTGACCCAGTGACACTGAAGGAACAGCGAAATATTTTTACGTCAAGATGGTGACTAGCTTTGAGGAGAACATGCAGGTGCTGGCATTCCAATGTATCTGCTGCCATTGTGCTTCTAGATGGTAGTGGTCATGGCTTTGCAAGGTGCTTTCTAAGTAGACTTGATGAATTTCTGCACTGCATCATGTAGGGGGCACACATTGCTGCCACTGAGCATAAGTGGCAGAGGGAGCGAATATTTGTGCATGCATCAACCAAGCAGGCTGCTTTACCATGGACGGTGGCAAGCTTGTGGTGTGTGCTTGGAACTACAATCGATCAGACAAATGAAGAATATTTCCTTCAGATCCTGACTTATGCCTTCTGGCTGGTGGGCAGGCCTTTGGAGGTCAGGAGGCAAGTTAGTTGCTCCTGCATTCTTAGCCTCTGACTGCTCACATAGCTGCAGTTTTTATATGACTTGTCCAGCTCAGTTTCTGGTCAATACTAACTCCCAGGATGTTGATAGTGTAGGATTCACTAATGGTAATGCAATTAAATATCAAGGGTGATGGTTAGATTCTCACTTGTTAGAAATGGTCATTGTTTGGCACTTCTGTGACACAAATATTACTTGCCACTTGTCATACCAAACCTGGATATTGTACATGACCAAATGCAGCAAGACCTGTATCCGAGTATTGCTTCCATATCCGAGCAGTCATTAATGGTGCTGAACATTGGACAATCAACACCCCTCTTCTGACTTTATGACAAAGGGGAAAGTCATTGATAAAGCAGTTGAAGATGGTTGGGCCTAGGACACTATGCTGAGGAACACCTACAGAGATGTCCTGGAGCTGTGACGATTGACAAACAAACCATCACAACCACTTTTCTATGTGGTGGGTATGGCTCAAATCTGCAGAGGGTTTGAACCCTATTTTCCATTGATTCCAATTTTGCTACGGTTCATTAAGGCCATATGTGACCTCGATATCAAGGGCAGTGACTCTGACCTCACCTCTGGAATTCAGCTCTTTTGTCCACATCTGAGTCAAGGCTACAATGAGTTTAGGAGCTGAGTGGGCCTGACAGAACAAAACTGGGTATTAGTTGGCTGGTTTTTCTTTTATTCATTCATGGGATATGGGTGTCACTGGCTAGGGCTGCATTTACTGCCCATCCCTAAATGCCCAGAGGGCAGTTAAGAGTCTACCATATTAGTGCTAAACAAGTGCTGCACCACAGCACCGTTGATGACCCCTTCCATCTGATGACTGAAAGCAGATTAGGATGGGCCAGTAATTATCCAGGTTGGGTTTGTCCTGCGTTTTGGTCTACAGGAAATATATGGGCCATTTTCTAATGCCAGTGTTCTAGCTGTACTAAATGTGGCTAAAAGTTCTGAAGCATATGTCTTCAGTACTATTGCTGGAATGTTGTCAGGGCCATAGCCTTTGCAGTATCCAATGCCTCCAGCTGTTTCTCACTATCAAGTGGACTAAGTTAAAGCGACTGAAAATTGGCATCCGTGATACTAGGTAACTCTGGAGGAGTCTGAAATGGATCATTTATTTGGCACTTTTGGCTGAAGATTGTTATAAATGCTCCAGCTTTATCTCTTGCACTGGATGTGCTGGGCACCCGAGCATTATAGATATGTATATTTGTGGAGCCTTTTGTTCCAGTGAGCTGTTTAACTGTCCACTGTCATTCGCGACAGGAGGTGGCAGGGCTACAGAGTTTAGATTAGATTCAAGAGTTATGGAACCATTTAGCCCTGTCTATCATTTGCTGCTAACGCTCTTTGCAAGTAGGCCTGTTTTGTAGCTACACCAAGTTGATTTCTTATTTTTAGGGAAGCCTCATTCCATTCTTGGTATGCCTTCGTACACTCTACATTGTTGATTCCATGGCTTGACGGAAATGATCGAGATGGGGGTATGCAAAGGGATAAGGTTGCAGGTAGGATTTGAGTACAATTCTGCTGATAATATCCCACAATGTCTCATGAATGGCTAGTCTTGAGCTTCGATATCTGTTCAAAGTCTATCCAATTTTGCAATGGAGGGCATCCTCAATGTTAAGACAGCACTTTGTCTCTACAAGGACTGTCCTGTTGTCAATTTTGCCAATATTTGTCATGGACAGGTGCATCTGTGGCAGGGGGATTGATAAGAATGGGGTCAAGTACGCTTTTTCTTTTTGCTAGTTCCCTCATCACACACCCCCGTCTAGCAATGTCCTGCAGGACTCGACCAGCTTAGTCAGTAGTGATGATACTGAGCCACTAGATGGGTGACTTCAAAGTCCGTCATCAACAGCATATTCCACACACTCAGTGCTTCCTCCAAGTGTTGTTTAGCATGGAGGAATGCTGATTCATCAGCCAAGGGGTAGCAGTAGATGATATCCTTGCCCATGTTTGACCTGATGCCATGACACTTTATGGATTCTGGAGTCAATGTCTAGGACTCCCAGGGCAACTGTCTCCCAACCACACACCAGTGTGCCACTACCTCTGCTGGGTTTATTCTGCACTGGGACCTGACATACACCAAGAACAGCTACCTAGAATACACCTCCTCCCACCCACCTTCCTGCAAAAATGCCATCCCCTATTCCCAATTCCTTCACCTCCGCCGCATCTGCTCCCAGGATGAGGCATTCCACTCCCGTACATCTCAGATGTCCTCGTTTTTCAAGGACCGCAACTTCCCTCCCTCAGTGGTCGAGAATGCCCTCGACCGTATCTCCCGCAACTCATCCCTCACACCCCGTCCCCGCAATAACAACCAAAAAAGAATTCCCCTCGTCTTCACATACCACCCCACCGACCTCCGGATCCAACGCATCATCCTCTGACACTTCCGCCATCTGCAATCCGACCCCACCACCAAAGACATTTTTCCCTCCCTACCCTTATCTGCTTTCCGGAGGGACCACTCTCTCCGTGACTCCCTTGTCCGCTCCACACTCCCCTCCAGCCCCACCACACCCAGCACTTTTCCCTGCAACCACAGGAAGTGCTACACCTGCCCCCACACCTCCTCCCTCACCCCCATCCCAGGCCTCAAGAAGACTTTCCACATCAAGCAGATGTTCACCTGCACATCTGCTAATGTGGTATACTGCATCCGCTGTACCCGTTGTGGCCTCCTCTACATCGGGGAAACCAAGCGGAGGCTTGGGGACCGCTTTGCAGAACACCTACGCTCAGTTCACAATAAACAACTGCACCTCCCAGTCGCGAACCATTTCAACTCCCCCTCCCATTCCTCAGACGACATGTCCATCCTGGGCCTCCTGCAGTGCCACAACGATGCCACCCGAAGGTTGCAGGAACAGCAACTCATATTCTGCTTGGGAACCCTGCAGCCCAATGGTATCAATGTGGATTTCACAAGCTTCAAAATCTCCCCTCCCCCTACCGCATCCCAAAACCAGCCCAGCTTGTCCCCGCCTCCCTAACCTGTTCTTCCTCCCACCTATCCC